CGTTTTTTGATTTCCTGGCTGCTGGTGCCAAGAGTGTTGACCGTGGAGCCAAGCAAACTGAAGCTGTGAACAATCTCAATCTCTTTGCCATCCATCCTGATGCCACTGTAGAACAGGATTGGGGACAGGGTCTATAAAAACAAGAACTCAAAAGCTGTTGCTAAAAATAAGTTTATGGTTTTACCTAGGAGAGAGATATAAAAGAATTATTAGCTATTTGCAATCATATAGAAAACATTTTTCTTACAAAATCCAATTTCAATCACAAAAGTGCTACCCACTTTGATAAAACTGGTCTATGCTAAGCCAATTCCAGTGCGTCTGACACACCTACCTCTATTACTCCAATCACTGAGTCTATCCATCTCATCGAGGGTCCTCCTCTCTTGTGCTGTCCCTCCATCCTCTGAAGCATGATATCCCTCTCCAAGGACTGTTTTTTCCTGGCAACATGACCCAAGTATGTCAGACAAACCTTCAGAAACCAGAAGCAGCCTGGTTTAACCCTCTCCAGGGTGAAGCTGTTTGCTCTCCTAGCAGTCCATGGTATATTCAATACTCTCATCCAGCACCACAGCTCAAAGGCATTAATTTTCCTATCATTCCTAGTCATTGTCCAGCTTTCTGATGCATAGCAAGTAATTGTTAAGGCCATGGACTGGATCCACCACACCTTAGTCTCTATACTGGCATCGTTGCTTTTCAGTACTCTGGAAAGTTCCTTGAAAGCAGATTTACCTAATGCAATTCTCCTGACTAATGGTGCCAGTAGTGTTGCTTGTAGAGCACAGCATGCTGTAACTGTTAACAAGCACAATCTCTTCTCCATCCATCATGGTGCTGCCAATTGGCCCAGTGGTGAGAACATTTGTCTTCTTGATGTTCAGTTTCAATCCATATTGAAGACTACAGTCCTTGACTTTCTGCAGCATGCGCTTCAGGTCCTCCTCAATTTCAGCAAGCAAGGTTGTGCCATCTGCATAATATAGGTTTCTAATGAGTCTCCAATCCTGATGCTACATTCCTCGTCATAGAGCCCAGCCTTCCAGATGATCTGTTCCGCAAATAGATTTAAAAGGTATGGGCGAGCTCTGGTGGCCTAGTGGCAAGAAGCTGCACTGCAAACTCAGAGGTGCACAGTTCGAATCCAACAGATGCTCTGCTGGAGAAGGAGGAACAATCTCCTCCTGTACCAGTCAGATCTATTTTGACGGTACACACACACACAAATTATGAAATAAAATAAAAAAATTTTAAAAAAGGTATGGAGATAGGACACATACACCTGGCATACACCCTTCACAATAATAAATATAAGTAGGCAAGAAAGAAAGGAGGTCTTAAAAGTAGATAAATCCCATTGCTATGGAGTTGATTCCAACTCATATCAACTGTGCATCATGATTCTTCACAGGAGGAGATTGCCCCCTTTCTCCCACAAAATGGCTGACAGATTCAACCTGCTGACCTTATAGTTTTCAGGCCAACACATCAGTCTCTAAGCTATAAGAGTGGCTTAAATGTAAATGAAAGTCATGTATAACTTTCTTTGGTATGCACTAAATTTAAATCCTGTTATTACAAGTCTGTTTTAGAAAAAGTGCACCCAGGGTGCTCCTTAGAGGCAAGAATGATGACCCTTTGTCTCACAGACTTTAAGTATATTATTAGAAGGGGCCAATAATCAGAAAGCGACAGCATGCTTGGAAAAGCAGATGTTCGGTGAAGGAGAATACAACCCTCAATGAGGATCAAGGATATATTGATACAGTGACTGAAACAATGACTTGATGCACAGAAACATGAGTATGGTGCAGAGAGCAAGGTTTAGATCAGCAGTCATTTGTATTCTAGACTCAGGATCAACTGGCTGGCCCCTGATAACAGCAAGTTTATCTGTAAATAGACTGAGACAAAACTGTAGCACTGGTTATTTAAAAGAGAATATTATCTCTGGGAAACAGCCAAAGCAGTACTCAGAGGTCAATTTATAGCAATAAGCAAACACATCAAAAGACAAGAAAAAGAGACCATTGACTCTCTAAATCAACATCTCTAACAAATTGAAAAAGAACAGCAAGAAAACCCGACACCCTCTAAAAAAACTGAAATTATAAAAACTAGAGCAGAAATAAATG